TCCGTCCGCACTGAACGCGCAGCTCGCGCTCCGCCGAAACACGCGTGCGTGCGTCCCGATGCTGCCTGCGTGCGCGCCAGTTCCGCTGGATCCGCCATTGTCGCCGCTGCTAACAGCGGCGACAATCCCGCCCGTTCCGCCATTGCCTCGCGCAGCCGACTCGCTGCTCCCCCCCGCCGGCTGCCTCCCCCCCGGAATGGCGGCGATGGCGGCGACGCGCCCCGGTGACGCGGAAGCGCCGCGGACGGGACGCGAGATGGCCTCGTGGTGACCCTGCGACGCGCCATCTGCGTGTGCGACGCCCGCGCCCGTCGCAACGGCTCCCTTTGACGACGACGCCGCGCCACCCGAGACGCTGTGCGATCTAGCGAACATTTGTCGCGCGCCTGCGCTGCGCCCCTCCGCCGCGCCGACAGTTCCGCAATCCGCAGGCCTTCCCCGAGCGCTTCCCTCGGGAGGTACGGCTGCTCCATGGGGGCTCGCACCGCGATCGGAGCGAGCGCCGCCATGATCTGCGGAAAGCGCCGGTCCGGCGGCACTTGCGCTCCTTACGAGGCGCGCCGCGCCTAAGGCCGCATTTCCAGCCGGCGAGGATTGGCGGCGAGGGTCGAGCTGAAGCGACGCGGCGGGCTGCCAGTTGCGCCGCAGCCACAGCTGCGACGGATGATGCGAAGGGATCGAACCCTCGCTTTCTGAGTCCGGACGCGGCTGCGACGAATCAGCGGCTCCGGCGACGTTTTGAACCACCGGTGCGACCATTTGGTGCGACAGCGAGCGCGCGTGTCGCGCTTTCGGGCGGGCGCAATGCGCGGATCTGATTTGCGGGAGGCTGGGAGGGGGAAAGGGGGGAATGCAGGGAGAACCGTCAAGCTGTTAGGCTGGTTCCAGATCGCCGGAAATGGCGCCGGAAACTGCGCTGCGAAGCCGGGACACAGATCGCTCAGATTTTTTCCGCATTGCGCGGAAAAGCAAGACAACATAGTAGCGGTCGTGCGGCGTGGAGAATGTGGTTCATGCTTGAAATGCGGCGCTCACCGTTGCGCGCCGACGTCCCCGCAAGAAGGCTCCGCTAGAGACATGCTTGTGACGTGGCCGCGATCTCGGCAGTCGCGCTGTTTCGCTGTCAGATTAACCGGCACGTGTCTACCCCCGCGACTGATCGACGACAGAGGAGCCGATAACGTCGCGTGAGAGCGCGATGGATGGAGGGTGAAATGAGATATTTTGAGCTAAGTAGCTATGCAGTTTGAGCTTCCCTTAGCGTTTCCACTTCGTCCACCGCAACGCACTATGGCCAAAACTACACGAACAAGCTGTCAAATGCGAGCTGCTTCGCATCCTCCTCACTCCTTTTCACGAGCGAGATGATTCACCCATAGGCAAAAAAGGATGCTCGCTCTCTTGCCTGCCATTCCCACAATCGCATTGCGCGGATTCAGTTGGTTCGTCTTGACTCTCCTGTCCGCACCAGACCCACAAGTCAGGCTAGTTGGCGGCAGCGACGTGCAAGATTCCACCACGACTGGGCGGACCGGACAAGCTCGGTAAACTGGCAGTCGGCAAGTGGAAAGTTACTGGCGAATGGCGGAAAAGCGCGACGGTTCTGCTTGGTGGAAAAAGTGTGGGCTGGGCAGATTTTAGATTCAAGTTTGCTGTTGAATGGACCCAACGTAACCACGCTGCTCCGATAAAGAAATCGCACGCGGGCAAATTTGATCCACGAAATTCGACTGTTCGACTGTTCAACATGGAAAAGTCGAGGAGCGAACACGATTGGCTGATGGTCACGACTTGAGCAGTCAAGGGATACGGACAGACAAAGGAAAAGCAGGGGACAACAGCTGGAAACGGTCAAGTGTGGTCGAAACCTCGTCATAAGCATGTGTTGCGAATAATCTACACGTGCATACAATAATGAACTTCCATTTAATACGACTAGTGCCAATGTGCAAATATCTGGAACATTACACAATGTCTTCAACCTAGGGCCGGTAGGCTCTTGGCAAGGCCATCAACTGCCATCTCAATCTCCTCCTCTGTAATAACAAGGGGCGGCACGAGGCGCACCACATTGCCCTTGCCTGCTGTGATCACCAGCACGCCCTCCGCTCTCGCCGCATCCACCAGCGGCCCAGCCGCCACATCCAACTCCACCCCCATCATCAGCCCCCGCCCCCGAACCTCCTTCACATGCGGGTTCCCCCCAAGCCTCTCCCGAAGCAGCTTCCGAAGCAGCTCTCCCTTGGCTTCCACACTGGCGAGGAAGGTCGGGTCGGCGATCTTATCGAGGACGGCAAGTGCCGCCCGGCAGACGAGTGGGTTGCCTGCAAAGGTGCTGCCGTGGTCGCCAGGTGCCATGGCTGCCGCCACCTGATTGGTCACCAGCACTGCTCCTATGGGCAGCCCACCTGGGAGCAGGCCATGGGAGGGGGGATGGGGGGAGTGGGGAGGAGAAAGGGAGCATGAGAGGATGGAAGGGCGGGGAGTGAAGTTGAGAAACAGGAGACATGACGACTAGGAGTAAGCAGCGCAGAGAGGCGGTGGGGGCAGGCAATGAGGGTGGGCAGAGAGGCGATGAGGGTGGGGCAGAGAGGCAATGGGGTGGGGCAGAGAGGCAAATGGAGGCAGGGAGGTTCAGGGGGCAAGGAGGATGCACAGGGGTTTGTGTGTGTGTGACGCCATACGCCTCGTTTTAAGGCGCCTCAAAACCAGGGGGTTTAGGAGGCAGGGAATGCATGCACGGCAGTAGGTACCTGCGAGGGGCTTGGCGAGTGTCATGATGTCGGGCGTGACGCCGTACGCCTCGTGCGCCCACACGTGCCCCGTGCGCCCCAGCCCACACTGGATCTGCGCGCATGGGGGAAAAGAGGGGGGAGAGTTGGCGGGGCAGGCGAGGCGGGAGAGGGGCGATGTGGACAGGAGAGGGTGATGAGGGGCGAATTAGGGGGGATTGATGAGGGAACAAGGGAGGGTCGGAGTGGATGGAAACAGGGGGTGGGAAACAGAGGGGGGAAGCGTGAGAGGAACAAACGGAGGGACAGGGGAGCAGATGAGGAATGCGCGCAGTTGGCGAGATGGGCACGCAGGTGGCAAGAGAACAGAGCGGGAGTGACAGGAGGGCGCAAAGCTCCGCGACGGGCGCAATGAAGCTGCAGAGATGACCGCACTGCGCATTTGTCAGGTTCCCTCGCCCTCATCCATCCACCCTCCCCATTCATTTGAGTCGCGCTCTCGCACGCCACCTCCGCCCCGCCCCACTCACCTCGTCGAACACCAGCAGCGCGCCGCGCTCGTCGCACAGTTGGCGCAGGCCGCGCAGGAACTCCGCGGTGGCGGCGAACACGCCGCCTTCGCCCTGCACCGGCTCCACGAACACCGCCGCCGTCCGACCCGCGGTGATGGCGGCCGCCGCCGCCTCGAGGTCGCCGTAATCGGCGAACGCGACGCCGGGCATGAGCGGCTCGAACGGCGCGCGAAACTGCGGCTTGTAGGTGAGCGCGAGCGCGCCCATCGTGCGACCGTGGAAGCAGTTACCGAATGCGACGAACTCCGTCGCATGCTCGTCGCCGCTCTTCGCCAGCTGGTACTTCCTCGCGAACTTAATCGCCGCCTCGTTCGCCTCCGTGCCCGAATTCACGAAGAACACGCGATCTGCGAACGACGACTTCACCAACCGCTGCGCCAGCTGCACCATCGGCCACGTGTAGTACAGATTGCTGACGTGTGCCAGCGTGGCGGCCTGATCCGTGACAGCGGTGAGCCAATCAGCATCGCCGTGGCCCAGCGAGTTCACCGCGATGCCCGACGCCATGTCGATGTATTCGCGCCCCGCCGTGTCGTACAGGCGGCTCCCCGCGCCCGCCGCCACCACGAGCGGCGTGCGCCCGTACGTCTGCACCACCACGTCGCGCTCGATCGCCATGATCTCCTCCGCCGACGGCATCCCCGCCGCCACCGCTGCCGCGCGCTCCGCCGCGGTCGCCGCGGAGGCAGCGGCGGCGGCGGCGGCGGCCGCGGGTCTGGCCTCGCAGCGGAGCGGACGCGCGGGGATGGGATCGGGGGAGGCGGACGAGCGCATTGGAAACGGAGCGGGCAGAGGCTTGCCGGCGAAGGCGGGTGAGGATGCGGACGGGAAGGCGGAGGATTGGAGGGAGGCGGCGAGGGGGTGCGCGAGAAGGGAGGCGCTGGTGGCCATGGCGACACGCAGAGCGAGTGACGGGACGCCGGCTGGCAGAAATCGGGTCCGGAGGCAGGCGATCCTAGTTGGTCAGACAGAGCATTCACTGATCCCAATAACGAAATCCTTGGCTTCGTATACTCGCTCGAGCAGAATGACCGACCAGGACAATTCCGATGGCCAAGCAAGCAATCTCGAGGTGGTGGTTTTACGCGTCAAATTCACTCAACCCTCAGGAATTGCGTGCGAGAGGCTAAGTGCTGGTGGGTTGCGGTTTTAGGAGCCGCAGGAACATGCGGCTGAATGTGACGAATCCGTGTAAGACATTTGGCCTACGTCCAATCACATGATGCATCGATCGATCTGCGACAAAGTCAGACCTGCGATTAATGTCAGTCTCGTCACTTTGTGTACATGAATTTCACTACAGTAACTGATCTTACGATTATTCGAAGCAATTCACACAAGTTCCAGGCCCAACAGCCCAAATCTGCTGCGGCAACTTCATGGTGACGACAACTGCAGGGCGACGCCCTCGCTTCCCGCGTTTTCTATGTCTCGAGAGGTCGAAAAGGTCTCACCATCTCTGAAATCGCCACCACCCCCCAGTAGCTCCCAGCGTTCATCGCCGTGCTCTGCATTCGCCGCCACTGCTGCAACCTCGTCATATCAGATTCCGTCCGAAGCTTCTTTGGTCGACTCAAAATCGCTTCTGCAACCTTGTTTCATGAGATTCCGTCCGTAGCTCTCTCGCGTATCACCTGCCGGAGTTTCCCTTTTCCGTTCCGATCAAGGGTTTCTCGAGTGACGATCAGCCGCCATCATGTCGCAGGGAACGCAGCCCGGGTGAGTCGCACGCGCAGGTCTACAGCGCGCCGATGCGCGGATCCGTGCCTGCTTTGAAACGAGGCTATCGACCGTGACGTCACGATTCACGGAATTAGCAGTAACTGAATGTCGCGGCAAGTGAAACAACACGAGCCAACGTTTTGGTCCTTCGAAGCAATTGTCGAACGCACCTGTGGCAATGCTCCAAGAGTGCCAGCCGAAGGATAGTTGTGGAATGGCGAGAGACTTGGAATGAAGGGAGACTCGATTAGTAACCGATTTTTTTTCTACCCTGTCATTTTTTTTTCCTCCGTCCGCCCTGCACCCTCACCCCATTGCGCCCTTCCCTTGTTGCGCACTTTCCCTGTGCGCCCTTTCCTGTTGTGCTCTTCCCCTTTGCACCCTGCCTTGTGCTCGTTCCCTCGGGAGCGCAGCGAGGAGGCGTTCAGCATACTGATGGCGATGGACGATCACCCATGTGCCCACTTACCCGTGCTTCCTTTCCCCCATGCGCGCAGAGAGGACGCGTTCAGCATATTGGTGGCGACGGACAACCACCTGGGGTTCATGGAGAAGGACGATGTGCGCCGCCACGACTCCTTCACTGCCTTTGAGGAGATCTGCAAGCTCGCCCACTCGCTGCAGGTGAGAGGAGATCTGCAAGCTCGCCCACTCGCTGCAGGTGAGTTGGGCGCTGCACGAGTATTCTCCCATTGTGCAGCGAGGGTCGTTTCATTAGTCGTGTTTCTGTGTGAAGGCTTACGTGCACACGTGTCTGCACATGCATGTGAGCGCGCAGGTGGATTTCCTGCTGCTGGGCGGGGATCTGTTTCACGACAACAAGCCCTCGCGCGCCACGCTGGTGCGCACAATCGACATTCTGCGGCGCTACTGCCTCAGCGACAACCCCGTGCGCTTCCAAGTCGTCAGCGACCAAACCCTCAATTTCCCCAACTCGTGAGCGACCAATCTTGCAACTTCCCCTATTCGAGCATCCTCATGCCTTTTGCAGACGCCAGCTCCCTGCCTTCGTTTTTATCCTCAATCGCTGTAACCCCCCTCTCTTCCTTTCACGCCCTTGCAGCTCGTCTCCTATCTGTTGCAGCGGTCTTTCTATGCAACTCACACACGCTGCCACTGCACTGTGCTGTATGGATGCGTGCATGTGCTGCCATGCTGCATGCGTGCTGCGTGCGTGTGTGTGGTGCATGGCAGGTTCGGGCATGTGAACTACGAGGACGAGCACTACAACGTGGGCATGCCCGTCTTCACCGTGCACGGCAACCACGACGACCCCGCTGGCATCGTGAGTGAGATCACATCCCATCCCCTGCACACACGCTGCTGAGAGGGGCGCTGGGAGGGGCGGTGGGAGGGGCGGTGGGAGGGGCGGTGGGAGGGACGGTGGGAGGGGCGGTGGGAAGGGTGGTGGGAAGGGTGGTGGGAAGGGTGGTGGGAAGGGTGGTGGGAAGGGTGGTGGGAAGGGTGGTGGGAAGGGTGGTGGGAAGGGTGGTGGGAAGGGTGGTGGGAAGGGTGGTGGGAAGGGTGGTGGGAAGGGTGGTGGGAGGGGTGGTGGGAGGGGCGGTGGGAGGGGCGGTGGGAGAGGACAGATTGTCGTGTCGGCACTGGACTTACTCTCGTCTTGCCGTTGGTTGTGAGGCCTCTCAAGGCATGCTCCCAACCTAACCACCACCCCCCCCCTCGCATACCGCCAGGACAACCTATCAGCGGTGCACATCCTGTCGTCGTGCAATCAGCGCCCCCCCCTCCCCACCCCCCCCCCCCCTCCCCTCCTTCAAGATTTCACATCCTTCCGCCCCCGCACTCCCACACCACCAGGACAACCTATCAGCGCTGGGCATCAAAGCATCATGCAACCTGGTGAACTACTTTGGCAAGTCCAACATGCCCGCATGCCTGCCCCCATGCCTCTCTCACACCGCCAGGACAACCTATCAGCAGTGGACATCCTGTCGTCGTGCAATCTCGTGAACTACTTTGGCAAGTCCAACATGCCGGAGCATGACGCTGCGCAGATCACCCTGCATCCCGTGCTGCTGCGCAAGGTGGGTGGGGCGTGCTGCTGCGCAAGGTGGGTGGGGCGTGCTGCTGTGCAAGGCGCGTGGGTGGCTTGCAAGCAAGGTAACCTGCTGTTTTATGCTTAAAAAGTAGCGTTCAAGCAAGCTGGGTGTAACTTTTAAAAGTTGCTCCCGCATGTTGCCGCTCACATCACCCTGCACCTCGTGCTGCCGCTCACATCACCCTGCACCTCGTGCTGCTGCGCAAGGTGAGAGCGAGGCACACAAGGTGCGTGGAGGGGCCAAGCAAGCAAGGTGGGTGGGGCGGGCAAGCAAGGAGAGGAGGGCGTGGGTGGGCTGGCTGTGAGGTGCGAAGGCCGTGTGGCACCACCTCCCACATGCCCCCCCTCGCTTACCTCCCAGATATTCTTTCCCTGCCTTTCCTCTCCTCTCCCCCTTCCTCTCCTCCCATTCCCCAGGGCGTTAACCGCATGCCGCTGTACGGGCTGGGAAACCCATCCCCTCCCACTCTTCACTCGCCACGTGCCAACAGGATTTCCCCCTTCCTCCCCCCCCCCCCCAGGGCGCGAACTGCATAGCGCTGTACGGGCTGGGGTACATGCGGGACGAGCGGCTGAGGATGATCATGGATGTGAGTGGGGGGCTGAAGATGATCATGGATGTGAGTGGGGGGCTGAAGATGATCATGGATGTGAGTGGGGGGCTGAAGATGATCATGGATGTGAGTGGGGGGCTGAAGATGATCATGGATGTGAGTGGGGGGCTGAAGATGATCATGGATGTGAGTGGGGGGCTGAAGATGATCATGGATGTGAGTGGGGGGCTGAAGATGATCATGGATGTGAGTGGGGGGCTGAAGATGATCATGGATGTGAGTGGGGGGCTGAAGATGATCATGGATGTGAGTGGGGGGCTGAAGATGATCATGGATGTGAGTGGGGGGCTGAAGATGATCATGGATGTGAGTGGGGGGCTGAAGATGATCATGGATGTGAGTGGGGGGCTGAAGATGATCATGGATGTGAGTGGGGGGCTGGGTGGGAGAAGCAGAGGGAAGGGGGGCACGGCTGGTGGGTACTTGGTGGAGGTGGGGGGGAAGGGTTGTGGGGCGAAGAGGGGGCGGCTGGTGGGGGGAAGAGGGGGCGTGCGGGGGCCGCGTGGGTGTGGGGTTGGTTGCCTCGTGGATGTGTGGACCGCGTGGGTGTGGGGTTGGTTGCCTCGTGGATGTGTGGACCGCGTGGGTGTGGGGTTGGTTGCCTCGTGGATGTGTGGACCGCGTGGGTGTGGGGTTGGTTGCCTCGTGGATGTGTGGACCGCGTGGGTGTGGGGTTGGTTGCCTCGTGGATGTGTGGACCGCGTGGGTGTGGGGTTGGTTGCCTCGTGGATGTGTGGACCGCGTGGGTGTGGGGTTGGTTGCCTCGTGGATGTGTGGACCGCGTGGGTGTGGGGTTGGTTGCCTCGTGGATGTGTGGACCGCGTGGGTGTGGGGTTGGTTGCCTCGTGGATGTGTGGACCGTGGGGGTGTGGGGCGTGGAGGACAGGGGTGGGAGCAAGGGGTGATTAGGCAGTAGGAGAGAGTTCGGGTTTCAGTATGTAGGACTAGGGACTTGTTTTCATCAAACCATCTTCACCACGCTCCCCACCTCACCTCTCCCTCACGTCTTCCCCCTCACTACTCCCTTCCACCTCTCCCACGCACGTCTCCCCCCACACTCCCTCACCTCTTTCCCCTGCCTCTCTCCTCAACCTCGTCTGCCATCACCCCCCTTCCCCTCCTCTCTCCGCACTGCGGGCGAGGCAGAGCACAACTCACAGAGCAGAGCAGAAACGCAGGGGCTGCAGTGGATTCGACCGCAGGAGCCTCTCCCTCCACCTCCCTCCCATTCCCCCCATCACCCCCATCACCCCCCATCACCCCCATCACCCCCATCACCCCCATCACCCCCATCACCCCCATCACTCCCATCACCCCCATCACCCCCATCACCCCCATCACCCCCATCACCCCCATCACCCCCATCACCCTCCCCCTGCCCTCTCGGCAGAACCCACAGGGGCTGCAGTGGATTCGACCGGACGATCCGGGCACGAGTGAGGACGACTGGTTCAACATCCTCGTCGTGCACCAGAACAGGTGATTTCAACAGAGCAGGTGGTTTCAACTGAGCAGGTGATTTCAACAGAGCAGGTGATTTTAACAGAGCAGGTGATTTCAACAGACCACGTGATTTCACCAGAGCAAGTGATTTCAACACCTTGGTGGTGGCCCAGAAGCGATGGTTGCAGCAGAGCATGTAGTCGTAACAGAGCAGGTGATTTCAACAGAGCAGGTAATCGTTACAGAGCAGGTAGTTGTAACAGAGCAGGCGATTTCTCACAGAATATGACTGCAAATGTGATTGCCAATGTGATTGCTCGGCCTCAACTGGTGAGTCTTTTTATCACCACCACCTATGCAAGTCACGTCTCCTAATCTTTCCTTCCTCTCCACCACCCTTTCACTCACCCCTCCTCACCCAAACCCCTCAGGGCGGTGCGCATGACGGGGGTGAAGAAGGTGGTGACGGTGGACGAGAGCAAGTTCCCCTCTCCCCTCCTTCCACTCTCCCCCTTCCCCCACTCTCCCCTCCTCCCCCTCTCCCGTTCCCCCCCTCTACCCTCCGCCCCCCAGGGCGGTGCGCATGACGAATGTGAAGAAGGTGGTGACGGTGGACGAGTCAGGCTTCGCGTCCTTCCTGGACCTGGTCGTGTGGGGGCACGAGCACGAGTGCCGCATCGAGCCGCAGGTGAAGTGGCTCATGGCGGGCGTGGGGGGACATGATGCGGCATGGAGGGGTATGGTGGGGCATGGTGGGGTATGGTGGGGCATGGTGGGGCATTGTGGGGCGTGGTGGGGCGTGGTGGGGCATGGTGGGGCGTGGTGGGGAAAGGTGGGGCGCGATGGGACATGGGGGCTGCCCTTTCGGGGTGTGGGGACACGAGCGCGAGTGCTTCATGGAGCCTGAGAGGACATGGGGGGCGCATGGCATGTGGGTCTGTGGGGGGGCGATGATGCGGTCAGGGGAAAGATGGTTTGGATGGAGGGGAGGGATGCTGTGGAGTGGGCGCGTGGGGTGGAGTGGCCAGCTCGGTGCATGGGCGGCGCCCCACACATAGGCGCAGGATGAGTGTGGCGCAGGATGAGTGTGGCGCAGGATGAGTGTGGCGCAGGATGAGTGTGGCGCAGGATGAGTGTGGCGCAGGATGAGTGTGGCGCAGGATGAGTGTGGCGCATAGGCTAGGCGCTGGTGACAAGGAGCACGCACCTTCAAATCCCTCATCCCATGCCATTCCCTTTGTGCCCCTCTCCCTCTCCATCCATGTACCCCCACTCCCCCTCTCTCCCTCCTGCTTACCTCTTCCTCCTCCTTACCTCCTCTCCCTCCTCCCTATCTCCTCTTCTTCCCCCTTCCCTCCTCTTCTCTCTACGCTCTCTCCCCCCCCTCCCTTCCGCCCCGCGAGCAGCAACCATCTCGGGCGAGGTACTTCATATCGCAGCCTGGTCGTCAGTGCTCACACAGCTGGCAGAGGGCCTAATGAGTCGCTCACAAGTCGCTCTCCTTCAATTCAGCCCCCCCCATTCCCATTCGTCCATGCGAGCAGCAACCAGCGCGAGCAAAGTACTTCATATCGCAGCCGGGGTCGTCGGTGGTCACGCAGCTGGCGGAGGGCGAGGCCAAGCCCAAGCACGTGCTGCACCTGCGCGTCCAGGTGCGCTGCATCTGTGAATCTAGGTGCATTGCGTCTGGGTGCGGTGCATGTGGGTGCGGTGAATCTGGGTGCGGTGAATCTGGGTGCGGTGAATCGGGTGCGGTGATTTGAGGTGCAAGCAGCTGTGTGTGGCGGCAGGCTTGATCCTCCTTGTGCACGACTTCCCTCCTGCTCACATCCCATCCCATTCGCCTGCAAGTTAGAGCTGGAGATGTGCCCCCATGCCTCATCCCACCCCATTCGCCTAAACCCTGCCTTATTCCACTTCTGCCTCACCCTTACCATTCCCACTCTCCTCCCTGCCCTCCTTGTCCTCTCCCAATCTTCCCTTCCCCCCACCCCCCCCCCTTCCCCCCACCCCCTTCCCCACACATGCCATGCCACCATGCAACTATGCATTGACCGTGATGCTGCCATGCCGCCGTGCCACCAGGGAAACCAGTTTGAGACACAAAACATCGCCCTCACCACTCCACGCCCGTTCGAATATGCCGAGGTGAGTCCAACCCATGCCCCTCGCACCATCAGCATGGCCCACTCTCACGCTATCTCATCTCATGCCATGTATGCCTCGTTGCAGGCACTCACACCTCCTCCTCTCCACTCATTTCTACACCTCCCCTCCCCTTTCCCCCCATCCCCCGTGCGCCAGGTGTCGTTGCGGGACGCGCAGGGAGTGAACGGCAGGGACCCGGAGGCTCGCGCTCTTCCTCTCCCTTTCCCCTTCCCCGCTCTTCATTGCCTGCCATCGCCTTCCTTGATCCTCCTCTGCCCTCTTCTTCCCTCCCCTCGTGCGCCAGGTGTCGTTGAGGGACGCGCAGGGCGTGAACGCCAGGGACCCGGAGGAGCTGGCGGCCTTCCTCTCCGCCACTGTGAGACCAGGGGAGTGGGGGAGGGGAAGGTGGGGGAAAAAGGGACGGGGACTGCTGCCACAATGAGAAGGGGAAGTGGGGAGGGGAGTCTGCCTGCTGTTAGGAGGGTTGAATTGATTGAATCGGTGCTTTCACCTGTGTATTGCTCGCACCTTCTCCCCCTCCTGCTGTGCCCCATCCCCCCCCATGCACGTCCTCTCCCTGCCGTGCCGCATCCGTCCTCTCCTCCCACTTTCCCTTCCCCTCCAGGTGCAGCGCATGATAGCCAAGGCAGAGAAGAGCCGTGTACCACCCCCCCCTCCCCCCCCCCTCCTGCTGCTCCCAATCTCTCCCCATGCGCGTCCCCCTCCCTCTCCCCCTCAGGTGCAGCGCATGATAGCCAAGGCAGAGAGCAGCTACAGGGAGAGGCGAGCAGCACAGCTGCCAGAGGGGCTGCTGGATGGGGGCGGCAGAGAGGGGAGCAGGGAGGTTCCGGTGCCGCTGCCGCTCATACGCATTCGTGTGAGTCACTCTTGGTTTATGCGAGTGCAAAAATTGCTCTTTTGTGTGGAAGCAACGTGAAGGCGAGGGCAAGTTGTGCGGCGTGCTTTGAATAACGACCATGGCCCTCATCATTCCCTGACCCCTCCACCTCCTGCTCCCTGACCGCCTCCGTTTCCCCTCCCTCTTTTGCCACTCTCCTCCGCCCTTCTCCCATTTCCCCCTTTCTCCACCCTCCACCCTCCACCCTCCCCCCTCCACCCTCCCCCCTCCACCCTCCCCCCCTCCCCTCTCCCCCCTTCCACCTCTCCCCCCCAGGTGGACTACTCGGGCTTCTCCACCATCAACTCGCAGCGCTTTGGGCAGCAGTTCGTGGGCAAGGTGGGTTGCATGGCGCATGGCGCATGGGGCACGGTGGGGCGCGGTGGGGCGCGGTGCGGCGCGGTGGGGCAAGGCAAGGTGGGGGTATGGTGTGGCACGGCATGGTGGGGGGCAATGTGGTGGGGTGGGGAGTGATAATTGCATGGGATGGGCTGAGGACTGTGTTTGTGTAGAACGGCTGTATTGTCTTGTCTTGTACCCTGTGTTGCGTTGGGATGGTGTGGTGTATGGCGTGTGTGCATACGTGCATATGTGCGCATGTGTGCATGTGTGCATGTGTGCATGTGCCCATGTGTGCGTGACACATTCACGCGTCCATCTATGCGGTGCACATGTGCATGCATGCGTGCAGGTGGCGAACCCCCACGACATGCTCATGTTCTTCAAGGCGCCCACCAGGAAGCCCTCCACCAGTGAGTGCTGCTTGCATGGTGCTGCTTGCATGGTGCTGCTTGCATGGTGCTGCTTGCATGGTGCTGCTTGCATGGTGCTGCTTGCACAGTGGCGGGAGCAAAGGGGAAGTACCTGCTGGCAGAGAAACCTTGTGCACCTGCACTGCCCGTGCTCCCACTCCTAACCTTCCGTGCTCCCGTTGTGCCTGCCTGCTCCTCGTGTGCCTGCCTGCTCCCCGTGTGCCTGCCTGCTCCCCGTGTGCCTGCCTGCTCCCCGTGTGCCTGCCTGCTCCCCGTGTGCCTGCCTGCTCCCCGTGTGCCTGCCTGCTCCCCGTGTGCCTGCCTGCTCCCCGTGTGCCTGCCTGCTCCCCGTGTGCCTGCCTGCTCCCCGTGTGCCTGCCTGCTCCCCGTGTGCCTGCCTGCTCCCCGTGTGCCTGCCTTCTCCCCGTGTGCCTGCCTGCTCCCCGTGTGCCTGCCTGCTCCCCATGTGCCTGCCTGCTCCCCGTGTGCCTGCCTGCTCCCCGTGTGCCTGCCTGCTCCCCATGTGCCTGCCTGCTCCCCGTGTGCCTGCCTGCTCCCCATGTGCCTGCCTGCTCCCCGTGTGCCTGCCTGCTCCCCGTGTGCCTGCCTGCTCCCCGTGTGCCTGCCTGCTCCCCGTGTGCCTGCCTGCTCCCCATGTGCCTGCCTGCTCCCCGTGTGCCTGCCTGCTCCCCGTGTGCCTGCCTGCTCCCCGTGTGCCTGCCTGCTCCCCGTGTGCCTGCCTTCTCCCCGTGTGCCTGCCTGCTCCCCGTGTGCCTGCCTGCTCCCCATGTGCCTGCCTGCTCCCCGTGTGCCTGCCTGCTCCCCGTGTGCCTGCCTGCTCCCCATGTGCCTGCCTGCTCCCCGTGTGCCTGCCTGCTCCCCGTGTGCCTGCCTGCTCCCCGTGTGCCTGCCTGCTCCCCGTGTGCCTGCCTGCTCCCCGTGTGCCTGCCTGCTCCCCGTGTGCCTGCCTGCTCCCCGTGTGCCTGCCTGCTCCCCGTGTGCCTGCCTGCTCCCCGTGTGCCTGCCTGCTCCCCGTGTGCCTGCCTGCTCCCCGTGTGCCTGCCTGCTCCCCGTGTGCCTGCCTGCTCCCCGTGTGCCTGCCTGCTCCCCGTGTGCCTGCCTGCTCCCCGTGTGCCTGCCTGCTCCCCGTGTGCCTGCCTGCTCCCCGTGTGCCTGCCTGCTCCCCGTGTGCCTGCCTGCTCCCCGTGTGCCTGCCTGCTCCCCGTGTGCCTGCCTGCTCCCCGTGTGCCTGCCTGCTCCCCGTGTGCCTGCCTGCTCCCCGTGTGCCTGCCTGCTCCCCGTGTGCCTGCCTGCTCCCCGTGTGCCTGCCTGCTCCCCGTGTGCCTGCCTGCTCCCCGTGTGCCTGCCTGCTCCCCGTGTGCCTGCCTGCTCCCCGTGTGCCTGCCTGCTCCCCATGTGCCTGCCTGCTCCCCGTGTGCCTGCCTGCTCCCCGTGTGCCTGCCTGCTCCCCGTGTGCCTGCCTGCTCCCCGTGTGCCTGCCTGCTCCCCGTGTGCCTGCCTGCTCCCCGTGTGCCTGCCTGCTCCCCGTGTGCCTGCCTGCTCCCCGTGTGCCTGCCTTCTCCCCGTGTGCCTGCCTGCTCCCCGTGTGCCTGCCTGCTCCCCATGTGCCTGCCTGCTCCCCGTGTGCCTGCCTGCTCCCCGTGTGCCTGCCTGCTCCCCATGTGCCTGCCTGCTCCCCGTGTGCCTGCCTGCTCCCCATGTGCCTGCCTGCTCCCCGTGTGCCTGCCTGCTCCCCGTGTGCCTGCCTGCTCCCCGTGTGCCTGCCTGCTCCCCGTGTGCCTGCCTGCTCCCCGTGTGCCTGCCTGCTCCCCGTGTGCCTGCCTGCTCCCCGTGTGCCTGCCTGCTCCCCGTGTGCCTGCCTGCTCCCCATGTGCCTGCCTGCTCCCCGTGTGCCTGCCTGCTCCCCGTGTGCCTGCCTGCTCCCCATGTGCCTGCCTGCTCCCCGTGTGCCTGCCTGCTCCCCGTGTGCCTGCCTGCTCCCCGTGTGCCTGCCTGCTCCCCGTGTGCCTGCCTGCTCCCCATGTGCCTGCCTGCTCCCCGTGTGCCTGCCTGCTCCCCGTGTGCCTGCCTGCTCCCCGTGTGCCTGCCTGCTCCCCGTGTGCCTGCCTGCTCCCCGTGTGCCTGCCTGCTCCCCGTGTGCCTGCCTGCTCCCCGTGTGCCTGCCTGCTCCCCGTGTGCCTGCCTGCTCCCCGTGTGCCTGCCTGCTCCCCGTGTGCCTGCCTGCTCCCCGTGTGCCTGCCTGCTCCCCGTGTGCCTGCCTGCTCCCCATGTGCCTGCCTGCTCCCCGTGTGCCTGCCTGCTCCCCGTGTGCCTGCCTGCTCCCCATGTGCCTGCCTGCTCCCCGTGTGCCTGCCTGCTCCCCGTGTGCCTGCCTGCTCCCCGTGTGCCTGCCTGCTCCCCGTGTGCCTGCCTGCTCCCCATGTGCCTGCCTGCTCCCCGTGTGCCTGCCTGCTCCCCGTGTGCCTGCCTGCTCCCCGTGTGCCTGCCTGCTCCCCGTGTGCCTGCCTTCTCCCCGTGTGCCTGCCTGCTCCCCGTGTGCCTGCCTGCTCCCCATGTGCCTGCCTGCTCCCCGTGTGCCTGCCTGCTCCCCGTGTGCCTGCCTGCTCCCCATGTGCCTGCCTGCTCCCCGTGTGCCTGCCTGCTCCCCGTGTGCCTGCCTGCTCCCCGTGTGCCTGCCTGCTCCCCGTGTGCCTGCCTGCTCCCCGTGTGCCTGCCTGCTCCCCGTGTGCCTGCCTGCTCCCCGTGTGCCTGCCTGCTCCCCGTGTGCCTGCCTGCTCCCCGTGTGCCTGCCTGCTCCCCGTGTGCCTGCCTGCTCCCCGTGTGCCTGCCTGCTCCCCATGTGCCTGCCTGCTCCCCGTGTGCCTGCCTGCTCCCCGTGTGCCTGCCTGCTCCCCATGTGCCTGCCTGCTCCCCGTGTGCCTGCCTGCTCCCCGTGTGCCTGCCTGCTCCCCGTGTGCCTGCCTGCTCCCCGTGTGCCTGCCTGCTCCCCATGTGCCTGCCTGCTCCCCGTGTGCCTGCCTGCTCCCCGTGTGCCTGCCTGCTCCCCGTGTGCCTGCCTGCTCCCCGTGTGCCTGCCTGCTCCCCGTGTGCCTGCCTGCTCCCCGTGTGCCTGCCTGCTCCCCGTGTGCCTGCCTGCTCCCCGTGTGCCTGCCTGCTCCCCGTGTGCCTGCCTGCTCCCCGTGTGCCTGCCTGCTCCCCGTGTGCCTGCCTGCTCCCCGTGTGCCTGCCTGCTCCCCGTGTGCCTGCCTGCTCCCCGTGTGCCTGCCTGCTCCCCGTGTGCCTGCCTGCTCCCCGTGTGCCTGCCTGCTCCCCGTGTGCCTGCCTGCTCCCCGTGTGCCTGCCTGCTCCCCGTGTGCCTGCCTGCTCCCCGTGTGCCTGCCTGCTCCCCGTGTGCCTGCCTGCTCCCCATGTGCCTGCCTGCTCCCCGTGTGCCTGCCTGCTCCCCGTGTGCCTGCCTGCTCCCCGTGTGCCTGCCTGCTCCCCGTGTGCCTGCCTGCTCCCCGTGTGCCTGCCTGCTCCCCATGTGCCCTCAGCCGTTTTGGAGGTGGGCGAGGAGAGGGTGGTGCAACCGGACGAGCTCAATCAGAGCAACATCGAGCAGCTGCTCAGAGACAGCAACGTGGTGGGTGCTCATGCTGGGCTGCGTGCTGAGTGCTGATAGGCCACGTGCTGAGTGCTGATAGGCCACGTGCTGAGTGCTGATAGGCCACGTGCTGAGTGCTGATAGGCCACGTGCTGAGTGCTGATAGGCCACGTACTGAGTGCTGATAGGCCACGTGGTGGGTGGTAGGCCACGTGGTGGGTGGTGATTGGAAGGCACCATGGAATGGTCCTGCTGCCCGCATCCCGCCTCACTCCTCCTTCTGCTCACGTGCCCCTCTCCATCTTCCATGGCTCCACTCCCTTCCGCTCCTCCATCCTCTCCCCCTCCTCACCTCCCACCTCTATCTCTCACCCTCTCCTCTCCTTCTTCTTCCCCACACACCTCCCCCCCTTCCCTCTCCCCCCGTCCCACCAAAGAAACTGGAGGTGCTGTCGCTGGGCGGGCTGGCTGAGGCGCTGCATGGGTTTGTGGGGCGCGACGAGAAGCACGCCTTCTCCTCCTTCCTCTCCTCCTCGCTCTCCGACACGCAGGTCAGCCTTTGTTCACACGCAGACCAACTGTCTCCTGCCTGCCTCCACCCGCACGTGCCTCTGTTCTCTCCCACCCTCCTCTCCTCCCACCCGCCTCTCTACCCGCCGCCTCTCACTGTGTCACTCCGCCTACTGCGTTCCTTTGCATCGCCTTCTCACCCCGCACCCCCCTGTCTGCCACGCCCCTGCCATATCCTCGCGATGCTCTGTCACCCGGTGCGGTGCAGGCATGGCTGGTGAAGGATCAGGAGGGGGCGGGGCTGAGGGACGACGAGGACATTCTGCGACTCGTGGAGCAGCGCGTGCTGCAGGTGGGAACCATGAAGCACGCACCCCTTTGACTTGTCTTCACTTGCTGCCATCCCACCCACTGCTCCTCCAAGCATCCGCCTTTCCGACCCTCAACCCCCGCCCTGCTCTGCATGCGCGGTGTGCTCCGGACAGGACATGGAGAAGCGGGGTGGTGCTGCGGCGGCGCCTGGTGATGGCGCTGGCGATGCAGGAGCAGCGCAGCCGATGCCCAATGTGAGTGCAGTTGAGCGAGTGAGGGGCTCATGCATGGAGCAGGCGAGCGAGCAAGTGGGTGCTGGATGTTGGTTCAACTCGCAGCACGTGGCATGGCATGTGCCTTGGAATTGTCATCTGTGCACCCACCCATGCAATCCATGCGCTGATCCCTGGCCCTTTCAATCTGCAGAATCCATCCCGTGCCACGCCACGCTGTGCTCCGTGCAATCTCTCCACTTCCCCGTCCTCCCCACTCCCCACCTTCTCCGCCCTTCCTATATCCCCCCCGCGCCCCTCCCTCGCCCTTTCCCCCGCCTGTGCACGGCAGCGTGGCAGCATGGACGCGGCCAAGCAGGGGGAAGAGAGGGAGGGGGGGGATGAGGGGGACGAGTGGGAGGCGGACGAATGGGAGCAGGGGAGCAAGGGCAGAGGGGGGAAGGGGCGGGGAGGTAGGGGGAGAGGGAGAAGCAGTGCGAAAGCGGCGGCTGGTGATGGGGTGTCGTTAAGAGGGGGGCGAGGAGGGAGGGGGAGGGGGGCCAGCAGCAAAGGGGGAGCAGGGGGAAGGGGAATGAAGCAGGCGACGTTTGAGAGCATGGGGCTGCGAGGCAGGTGCGATGGGAGGGAGGCACGGCATGGGTGGGATGCGGGGTAGAGCATGAAGTGATATGGGAGGTACGGCAAGGGATGGAAGGTATGGTGTGTTGATGAATATCCGCATTCCTGGTATCACAACGCTTGTGCATCCAATCCAAAGAGGGATCTATGCTATGCCATGTGTCTGAGCCCTCCGCTGCTCACCAGTGTGCATCCCTGTCTGTGCTGCTGTGCATGCAGGCCGGCAGCAGGAGCGGCAACAGCAGCAGGGAGGGCAGCAGCGAGTGTGGGCAGCACCAAAGTGGCGATGGAGGAGGAGGAGGAGATCGAGGACGACGACCTGGGCGCTCATGGCGCTCAGGGCGCGCAGGCCACGCATGGCACGATGGGTGCGCCACGTGGGGCTGATGGCATGATGGGTGCAGCACGTGGGTTGGGCGATGTTGACATGGACAAAGAGGAGGAGGCGGAATTGGAGGCAGTGGGTCTGGGCTCCAGGGTCAGTGCGTCTTGCCTGTTTCTTCACCTCTCTTCCCTCTCCCTCTCCTTCCACTCCCCCTCCATATCTTCCCTGCCTTTCTCTACCACAGCCTGTTTCTTCCAGTCCATAACTCCTTGTGTGCACACTCTCTGCTACTCCACCACACACCAAGCCCCACTCCCGCAACCCTTCCCCCTTGCCTTCCTCTGCCCCAGGCATCAGCAGCGCGAGCAGCCTCCCAGCGCCGCTCCACTGCTGCTGCCTCCCCGATCAGTCAGCGGGAGGGGCGGGGGAGGGGACGGGGCGGCGGGGCAGCAGCAGCAGCAGCAGGGGGTGTAGGGAGGGGGAGGGGGAGAGGGAGAGCAGTGGTTGGTGGGTGGAGCAGTTTGGGTGTGTCAGGCGTTGGCACGGCAGGAATGAGTGTGCAGAGTGACGCGGAGGAGAGCGATGAGGAGGAGCATGTGAGGCATGGCGGCATAGAGGAGGATGATGAGGAGGAAGAGGAGGAAGAGGAGGAGGAGGAGCAGAGGGCGCGGGCAAAGAGGGCGAGAAGGGGTGTGGGTGGCGTCACGGGTGGGTTCAGCTTCACACCCTCGCAAGTGAGTATGGAGGATGCACACTCATCACCACCACGTGCCCACACGTGCTGCGAGTGATGCTCGTTGACACTTCCCACTCACTCACATTCACCCATATTCACTTATCGCAATTTGATGCACTGCATGCAATTTGTGTGTCATTTCCTGCACAACTGGTGTTTCTGTGTGGCAGCAGCGTGGCAGCAGGTATGGAAGAGCAAGGCAGTGAAGCTGACGCGAAGAAGAGGACAAGCAATCAATCTACGGTATTCCATGAGACTGGTCACTTGTCTGTGTTGGGCCGTGGTCACTTTACTCGTGGTTATTCAATGTATGCATTTTCCTTCAAGTCCTAGGTCGCACACCATGCTTTGTTCCCTAAGTTTGGTCAGAGGACCCATCCATCCACGCATAGTTTACTGTGAGTTCTTAGCACCGCTGAAGAATAGAGTTATGCTCCGCAGAACGTCTGGACTTACGGATCACGAGGTGCTCTGTAAGGCGTTCAGCGTCCACGTCACGAGGCACTTCAGTTGGCTGTCGCCCATTCGTCAATAGAAGTTGGGGCGCAACGCGAGGGCGAATCGCCGTTCACTTTCCTGACCACGTGTCCCCCATTTGTCGCACACGACCGCCTTCATTTCGCACGGCGCGATCTCTGCGAGTGCCCCTGCGATATGGGGCAGCGCAATCCAGGCTGGGCGGGGTGTGCGCGCACGGAATACCGAGGGGCTGAGGGGGAAGGGCCAATCCTACGACGAGGCTAAAGCAACTAAAGGCAGGACTAGAATGCTAAGTGCTTCAAAAAGCGCGAGTCCAAGTAGATCGAGTCCGAGCCACGCCCCCACGCGCCTTTTCGTTCCTCCTCGCTCGCCGCTTTTCCCGCAACGCTAGCTTCACCCGCATCGTGCCTCGCTCCGCCGTCGCGCGTCCGCCCACTCTAAAAGATCCTCCTTTGCTTCCATCCGACCATCCATCGATCCGCGTCTCGCCATTCCCTAATCGTCGACGCAATCCGTCAAATTTCGACCGTCCGTTCCGCTGCGATCGACGCGTCGTTTCTGCACCGATTCGCGTCACTTGGATCGATCTCATCCCCCAGCGCTTCGCCTGTAGATCCACGTCAGCCTCTCGCCCACCAATCACCGCCATGGCTTCAGTCGCCCTCAAGCGCATCGCACGACTCGTCAACGGTCCGCCTGGCGTCGCAGCGTCGCTGTCGCGAGCCATGAGCTCGCTCGCGCCCGCGATCGACGCCGCGGCGCCTGTCGGATCGGGCGCGCACAGCCCAGCGAGCCCGGCGCAAGGGGGCGCGGCGGCGGCCGAGTGGACGCGGGGCGCGTGGCGGCGCGGCATGGCGTCGTCGGCGGCGGCGGCGAGCTCGGAGGAGGAGAAGCGCGTCGTGACGCTCTTCCCAGGCGACGGCATCGGCCCAGAAATCGCGGTGGCCGTCAAGCAGGTTCGGCGCCCGCAGACATTCCAATGCGCGCTCTCCTCTGCCAACCCCCTCCGCGAACTCCCCGTCCCTTCCCCTCTCTCACCCTTTCCCTCCCCTTCCCCTCGCCCCCTTCCCTCCCGCCTTCCCCGCCCGCCCGCACGGCCCGGCAGGTGTTCGCGGCGGCGGGAGTGCCGGTGGAGTGGGAGGAGCAGGCGATCGGCACGAGCGTAGACCCGCGCACCAACAGCTTCGTGACGCTCGAGAGCCTCGAGTCGGTGCGGCGCAACGGCGTGGGGCTCAAGGGCCCCATGACCACGCCCATCGGCAAGGGCTTCCGGTCGCTCAACCTGACGCTGCGCAAGGAGTTGGGGCTGTTCGCGAACGTGCGGCCGTGCAAGAGCATTCCTGGTTACCGCACGCGATACGACGACGTGGACCTGGTTACCATTCGCGAAAACACGGAGGGGGAGTACAGCGGGCTGGAGCACACGGTGAGAGGCGGAGGGGCGGTGGGGAAGAGGGTGGGCGAGAGGGGGAGGGGGAGGAAGGGATGGTGCTGGAGGAAAAGAGGGTGGGGAGGTGAAGGCGGGTAGGGTGGGAGAGGCAAGCAGGCAGGGGTTGAGGTTGGCGGAATGCCGAACGACAATGCGGGCGGTGGTGGGGTAGTGGGTGAGGTGCGGAGAGGAGGAGTCGAAGGAAGAGGATTGGGCGCATAGGCACAGCGGGTAGTGGACGGCACGTGGGGAGGGAAGGGACGTGGGTTGGTGCAAGGGTGCTGCTGACAGGTGACTCACTCCCTTGCTGTAGCTGCCTGACTCACCCACCCCAACCAACCCCTCCCCACCCCTTCCCCCCCACCCATTCGCCTCTCTGAGCGGGCAGGTGGTGAGGGACGTGGTGGAGTCGCTACTGCCACACCATTGCACTCCCTACTGACATACCCCTCCCCACCCTACCCGCCCCCACCCTCCCACACCCCTCCCCACCCCTCTCCCCCACTCCCCTGGGCTGTGAGCGCGCGCAGGTGGTGAAGGGCGTGGTGGAGTCGCTCAAGGTGATCACGCGCGCGGGCAGCATGCGCGTGGCGGAGTACGCCTTCAAGTACGCGCGCGAGCACAACAGGCAGCGCGTGACGGCCATCCACAAGGCCAACATCATGAAGAAGTCTGACGGGCTCTTCCTGCAGGTGGGCCCAATAGACCTTTACTTTGCACGTGCGCCGCTCTTCCTCCTCCTGCCCGCTACCAACCTCTCCCTCCCCCCAACCCCCAACCCACATCCCCCCTGCACCTGCCATTCCTCCCCCTGCACCTGCCATTCCCCCCCCTGCACCTGCTATTCCTTCCCCTGCATCTGCCGTTCCCCTCCCCCTTCACCTGCTCCCCACTTGGTCTTCCCTTCCCCAAAGACATGCTGGGTTGGTTCCCTTCCCTGCCCTTCCCTCTCCATCCACCCCTCTGGCCTGCCTCTCTGCCTTTGTGGCTCCAGTCTACTCATTTCCGCCTGCGGCACACACTCTCATACACATTCCTGTATCGCATACACCTCTCTCTATCACAGGCACTCCTCTCTGTCACGCACACTCCCTTGCTCTTCACACACCCTTGCTTCATCACCCGCTCGCTCTTCGTCACTCACTCCCTCTCTCTCTTCATCACACACAACTCTCACATTCTCAAGAAATTCAAATGCACCCCCATCTCCCGCGCGCCTCCCTCCTCTGCGTGTGTGCGCGCGCGGCATGGCACGGCAGTGCTGCAGGGAGGTGGCGGAGCAGTACGGGGACGTGCAGTACGAGGAGCTCATCATCGACAACGCCTGCATGATGGTCAGCCGTGCGCTGGGGGTGGGGTGTGCTGGCTGTGCATGCATGGTGGCATGGTGCTGCTGTCATGATGCTGGGGTGCTGGTAGGGTGCTGGTGCAATGGTGGTGCGATGCTGGTGGGATGGTGGTACCGTGCATGTTGGTGGGGCTGATGTGCTGCCTGCATGCCTCATGCTGCCCGCATGTGCGCTGGTGCAACGGTGGTTTCAGGTTCTCACACCGTGGACGGCACACAGGGCTTCACAGGACCACCATGTATACCACTCCACATCCATCAACACTCTCATCCCCACCTTCCCCCACACCTGCAGCAGCACATCCTCAGTATTCCAACCTCCCCCTTCCTCCCCCCCCCCCTTCCCCAATGCGCGCAGCTGGTGCGGGAGCCGCGCGACTTTGACGTGCTGGTGATGCCCAACCTGTACGGCGACATCGTGAGCGACCTGGCCGCAGGGCTCATCGGCGGGCTGGGCCTCACTCCCTCGGGCAACATCGGCCGCGATGGGCTTGCTCTCATGGAGGCCGTGCACGGCACCGCGCCTGACATCGCTGGCAAGGTGAGTGCACGGCACCACGCCTGACATCGCTGGCAAGGTGAGTGCACGGCACCGCGCCTGACATCGCTGGCAAGGTGAGTGCACGGCACCGCGCCTGACATCGCTGGCAAGGTGAGTGCACGGCACCGCGCCTGACATCGCTGGCAAGGTGAGTGCACGGCACCGCGCCTGACATCGCTGGCAAGGTGAGTGCACGGCACCGCGCCTGACATTGCTGGCAAGGTGAGTGCACGGCACCGCGCCTGACATCGCTGGCAAGGTGAGTGCACGGCACCGCGCCTGACATCTCTGGCAAGGTGAGTGCACGGCACCGCGCCTGACATCGCTGGCAAGGTGAGGCGGGCTCAAGGATGGATGGCCGGGGCAAGGTGAGTGGTAAGTGAGTGGAATGTGGAGGTGGTTGTAGCTATGAATGGGAGGCACACCTTCCCTGTCTTCCATCCCCACGGCCCTTTCTTCCTCCCTCTCTGACCTGGCCCCTTCTTCTCACCCTCCCATCGATCACCTCTCCCACCCCTCCCTTCCCTCCACTCCCCCAACAATCCTCACTCGCCCCTCCCCTCTCGGACGGCACATGGCAGAACCTGGCGAACCCAACGGCACTGCTGCTGAGTGCCGTGATGATGCTGCGCCACATGGGGCTGGGCGGACACGCCGACCGCATAGACGCCGCCGTCATGGCCACCATCGAGGCGGGGCGCTTCCTGACGCGCGACCTGGGTGGCTCCTCGGGCACCTCCGACTTCACCAAGGCAGTCATTGGCAACCTACAGTGATCGCTGGCTCGCTATGGGCTTCGCTTAATGCATGTAGCGCTTAGCTAGCAAGCAATCTCTTAACGCTGAATGCTCCTGACGTTATGCTGATTGAAAAGAAATGAGAAGTAGAATAAAGATGGCTGTTGTCGAATATTTCTTAACCAGGAAGCGGAGTGTATTCGTTTAATTTTACTGTGTCACCCCAGATAGGTAGGCGCACTAAAGTTGTATTCGGTAAACGCATGCGCTTCTAATGGGAAATGTTAGAGTCGACATTTTTTTGGGAGATGTGATGTGAGTACACACCATGGACTGGAGATGTAAGGTGAGTCGACACTTTTTTGGACGATGTGATGTGAGTAGACACCACGGAGTAGAGATGTGAGGCGAGTCGACACTTTTTTGGGTGACGTGATGTGAGTAGGCACCAGATATCTGCTCAGACAAAATAACGTTCACACACACTCAGAGAAATCAAACCACAACAGACATAAATTTTGTGCACACGCGCACACCACGCATGCAACGCAGAAACATATTATGGGAGGCAGACAGACGTGAACGCAAATGATAGCATCACATAACACCATGCAGCTAGGAGCATCGCCATGCAGCTAGGAGCATCGCCATGCAGCTAGGAGCATCGCCATGCAGCTAAGAGCATCGCCATGCAGCTAGGGGCATAGCCATGCACCTGGGAGCATCGCCATGCATCTAGGAGCATCACCATGCAGCTCGGAGCATCGCCTTGCAGCTAGAAGCATCGCCTTGCACCTAGGAGCATCGCCATGCAGCTAGGAGCATCGCCATGCAGCTAGGAGCATCGCCATGCAGCTAGGAGCATCGCCATGCAGCTAGGAGCATCGCCATGCAGTTAGGAGCATCGCCATGCAGCTAGAAGCACCGCCACACAGCTAGAAGCATCGCCATGCAGCTAGGAGCATCGCCATGCAGCTAGGAGCATCGCCTTGCAGCTAGGAGCATCGCCTTGCATCTAGGAGCATCGCCATGCAGCCAGGAGCACTGCCTTGTAGCTAGGAGCATCGCCTTGCATCTAGGAGCATCGCCATGCAGCTAGGAGCATCGCCATGCAGCTAGGAGCATTGCCTTGCAACTACAAGCATCGCCATGCAGCTAGGAGCATTGCCTTGCAACTACAAGCATCGCCTTGCATCTAGGAGCATCGCCATGCGGCCAGGAGCACCGCCTTGTAGCTAGGAGCATCACCTTGCATCTAGGTGCATCGCCATGCAGCTAGGAGCATCGCCATGCAGCTAGGAGCATCGCCATGCAGCTAGGAGCTTCGCCATTCAGCTAGGAGCATCGCCTTGCAGCTAGGAGCATCGCCATGTAGCTGTTATAGTCACAAAAGGCTTGAATGTGCCTAAAACGAAAGATAGAGAGCACATACGGATTTCTGCACAGCGGCTTCAAACGTTGATAGCGTTCTGCTCACAGCTGCAAATGACCTGATTCAAATTGGATCTGGAGCGTCTTCACGTCGTCTACAATTATCAATTTAGATTGCACGATTTGATAAAGAATTGACGACACAGCGTCGGTTTGAACAAACGGTACTATGGCAGCCACTATAGTCTTAGAACACAAGATAGGAAGAGTTACGAGTTGGGAATGACTCCCAGCTCCTACAAACCCCAAGAGCCGAGGTACAGTGATGTGGAACAGTGCCACACTGTCCCCAACCACGAAGGGTCTCGAAACTACCCTTCAATAGGGCCTACACCAAGTGAAATGTTACACTACACAAAGTAATGTAACTATCTTCAATATCTTGAGATGTACCCTTTTGGCGAGCTTCGAAATCACTTGAGGCTTGACACCAAGGCTCGGGCTCTTCATCACAAACTCATCCTTGAGTTCTTGATGGGTCTGCTGCACACACCTGCGACACGCCGAACGTTCGACACAGGACAAAATAGAAACCGCGCACGACAAAATAGAAACCGCGCGCGAGACACAAACGACCGCGTAACACGCGTCTAGCGATAACTCGCTATTGACTCGACACACACACTCGACATCATGACTCAACATTCACACACAATTATAAGCATGAAATATATATTATCCCATGCCCTCATACCATTCCATACACACACACATTCACGCACACGGACAACAAGCCGAGTGCAAACCGTAGGGTTGCACCAACAAACTCCCCCTCGGATTGTTGGCCTTAGGATATGTTGCTCTCTCAGTTCAGAGCCATCCCAGCCAGCTTGCAACACTTCCAATGCTGCTGCTCCACCAGCCTCTTGGTCATCATGTCAGCTGGCTGCCCCGTGGTCTTCACGTAGCGCAACTCAACTTCACCCGCGGTTACCATGCTCCTCGTCCAATGCCACTTCACCCTCATGTGCTTCGTGAGTCCATGCAACACAGGGTTCTTAGCAAGAGCAATGGCACCCTGGCTGTAACAGTACAGTGGGGTAGGTCCTTGCTGCTCCTCCCCCAATTCAGCCAACAAACGCCGCTGCCACACAATCTCCCGTACGGCACGGAAGAGTGCCATGTACTCGGACTCCACCGAGCTCAAAGCTTGGTCAACCTGCTTCTTGCTCTCCCAAGCAGTTGGGCCTCCACCAACACAGCATGTGAAGCCTCCCACACTTGTCATGTCCTCTGGTTCTGATGCATATGAAGCATCCGAGTAGGCGGTGAGGAACAAACGCCCGGGTTCAACACCATCCGCGCCCTTTTGGCGCCTTTGTGCCGCCGCCGAGTATTGCAGCCCAACGGTCGGTGTTTGGCCAAGATACTTGGCCACCCTCATTCCAGCTGCTACCTACTCCTCATTAGGGCATTGCACAACCCTAGCCAGCTGCCCGGTAGCAAACGCGACGTCCGGTCGGGTGTTTACCGCCGCATACATGAGGCTGCCCACCAACGAGTGAAATCGGCGCCTCTCCTCTTCACCAACGCTCTCCTCCTCTGGTCCCTTCACACACTTGAATCCAGAGGGAAAGGGTGTAGCCACATGGCCTTCACTCTGCCCAAAGTTGGCAGCCAATGCCTCCAGGTACTTTCGTTGATGCACCCGCATGCACCGCTTCTCCACATCTCGTTCGATGTGGAGCCCAAGGTAGAAGCTCACGTCACCAAGGGCCTTGCACTTGAACTTGTCTTGAAGCTTCAGCATCACCTCCTTCACAAGGTCAGAAGAGGGTGAGAAAATGAGGATGTCATCCACATAAACCACCATGAAACTCCTCTGCTCCCCCTTGCCAAGCATGAATAAGGAGTCATCGGCCGTTGAGGGAGTGAAGCCGATCCCCTCCAACACTTCGCGCAGCTTCATGTACCATTGCCTAGGGGCCTGATTCAGCCCATAGAGGGCCTTCTTCAGCTTCCACACTCTGCCACTACCATCATCAAACCCCTCTGGCTGCGCCATAAAAATCTCCTCCTCAAGGATGCCGTTAAGGAATGCCGTTACGATGTCCATTTGCTTTACTACCCATCCTTTGATGGCGGCTCCCGCGAATAGGGTTCGCAGCGTCGTCGGCTTCACCACAGGGGCAAACAGCTCCTTGAAGTCCACCTTCTCCTTCTGCTGGTACCCCTTGGCTACAAGCCTAGACTTGTAGCGCTCGATCTTGCCGTCGGCATCCGACTTGATTTTGAAGAGCCACTTGGACGTTATCGCCGTACGCCCCTCTGGTAGCTCCACCAATTCAAACGTGTCATTCTCCTCAATGCTCTTCAGCTCACTCTCCATGGCCTTCTTCCACTCCTCAGCATCACTACTCTCCAAAGCCTCCTTGAGAGTTGCTGGTTCTCCCGGCATCTCCACCGGAGAGAAGAACGCGAAGGCACACTCCTCGTTGTCACTCTCCTCGTCGTCTCCGACCATCATTGCCGCTCCGGCCAGGGCTGTCTTGCCCTGCTTTCCCGGCGCATCATAGGTCAGCCTATTAGGGGGTTGAACTCTCCTCTTCCCCCTTCCTTCCTCCTCAGGTGCAGGGACTTGAAGGCCTTGGCGTTGCTGTGGTGTGGCTCGAATCCGTGGAGCACTCGTAGTACGGGAAGGGAGTGACGGTGCACGCTCGCTCACTTGCTGCACCTCCTCCTCTTCTTCCTCTGCATCATTGGCCTCCTCTCCCCCATTCACAAGGGAGGATTGCCTTGTGGTTGTGCTGCCGCTGCTCAGTTCCAAAGGCAGCTCCACATGCTCCAAACCGGAACTCTTCACCTCCCCAAACCGCACGCCTATCTTCGCCTCATTCTCCGCCTTCCAATCCTTGTACATGAAGTTCTCCATGAACTTGCAGTCCCTGCTCACCAAGAACTTCTTGGTGAATGGGTCCTAAAGAAGCCATCCCTTGCTGTTTTGAGCCATGCCCAAGTGCACGGCCCACACCGCCTTGGCACCAAGCTTGTTGTGCCGAAGATGCTTAGGCACGAGCGCCATGCACATGCACCCGAACACCCGAAGCATATCCACCTTTGGCTTCCTTCCTAGCCACTCCACATAGGGCACCCATTTGTCTGCTCCCACATGAGTCAAGGCTCTGTTCTTGGCCACACACGCGCTCCGCACCGCATCAGGCCAGAAATAGTCGGGTAGCCCGGCTCCAATGAGCAACCCGCGTGCCGCCTCCGTGATTGTGCGGTTCGCTCGCTCGGCGATGCCGTTCATTGCAGGGGAGTATGGCATGGTGAGGGAGTGCCGAATACCATTCTTCTTCAGCCACAACCCAAACTCCTTGCTCAGGAACTCTCCCCCTCGATCGGTGCGGATTGACTTGACTAGACGGTCTTGTTGCCGCTCCACCATCGGGAACCAATCCGTCTTCAACGTTTCAGCCACGTCGCTCTTCTTGGCCAGCACGTACACCCAAGTCATGCGGGTGTAGACGTCGACAATGGTGAGAAAATACTCAGCTCCAGCAGCTCCAAGCTTCAGGGGGCCCACCACGTCCATCACCACCTCATCAAGCGGTGCCTTTGCCGTTGCCTCCGAACTAGGGAACGGAAACCGGGTGAACTTGGCTTGA